GTCCTTCACAAGTGTTGGCATTGTTTGAACGGGTCGCCGCTTACGATATTTGCTGGCGACACCGCCAAGAACATTTGTTGCAGTTCATTGTTTCTGCAGGAGATTTGCGAACTACCGAAGAAGAGCACATTGAGACTGTCATTTCCAGTGACACCGACTCAGGACTTCCACCTACCCTGACGACTGCACTGGTGACGACAGGAGACCTTCAGGTGGAGCCAGGCCGTTTGCCGCCCGCTTTCTACAAGGAGCTGGTCGGCTGGCTGCGCCGCAGCGGAGGTCCTGAGAGCCGTAGAACCGTTTGTAGCTTTCTCGAATTCGTTTTTCTTTACGCTTTCGTTGACTCCGGCTTGTTTCCCTTTGAAGAAGTTGGAGGCCGCAGAGTCATGAGGCAGGTACAGGACCTTTTTGTTCGACCGACGGTCACCACCATGGTCGATATGGTTAGGGTTGCTCTTACCGGTCTCTGTCGTCAGTTGGACGTCGATTTTGTTCGGGTTCCCTCGGGTGTTTTGCTTGGTCTTGGTATCCATACCCCTATGTTTGGTATTCCTATCGATTTGAACCCTTCTCATCTCGACCTTGGTCGTCGGCTTTTGCGGAGATGGACATCATCTCGACCCATTAGGAGGGCGGCTGACCTTGCTCGCCCCTTTTCAGAGACTTGAGCCGCCTCGCGGCCGGACACGCAGCTCGCGGCGCCGCTCACGCCGCGCCCGAGCGACCGAACGTCAGAGATATCCTCGAGGAGATTCAACTGCTTGCCGAGCGAGGCGGAGGGTCGGTACGAGAGAACCCTTGGCGCAGCCTACATTGGTGGGGGTCCACCGAGTGCTCTATGATGGACACCGGCTGCTGGAAGGACAAACGCTATGATGCATGCTGCCTCGGAGGAGCTCGTTGCAAGGCACAGTGCTTACGCCACAATATCGATGAGATCGATCAGTGGCCGCCACTTACCTGCCACCATTCTCATGCACCTCATGAGTGGACTCCTTACCTTCAGGACGGCCGGACGATCTATCCATCCAAAGAGGAAGCCGAGTATACGGCTGTCTTGGCCTTCGCTATTGCGGTCGCAGCATCGTGGTGGGCCGGGCGCGTGGGTCGCGCCAAGTTGCATGTTCCACGGCTGCCGCAATTCGAATGTGTCGGAGCCCGCGAACATTGGCTGGACCTGGACCCCCGGGCATTACGGGAATGGGCGATGGCGCCCCTCGCCCTGGGGCTGGGCTTGTATCCACCAGATCCGAGTGAAGCGGCCCGGATCCCCCGTCGGGCTCAGGTGGATGACGTCCTCATCGAGAAAGGCAAGTTGCCGCCCAATCATGTCTACGTAGGCCAGGGCCGCGGCTCTCACCGTCTTGCGAAGACCAAGTGGGCATCCCCGGTTATCCCTGGCTTGAACAGTCAGTCCAATGATTGGTTGTGGCACTACGTCGCCTACCTCTATGAGTCCGGCCTGGTGAACAACCTCTATGAACTGCAGGGCAAAGTGCTGGTCTGCGACTGTCCTTTCTGTGATCCTTGTGAAGCGGACGTGCTTGCAGGCCTGTGTTTTGAGACGAGCCAGCCACAAGGCCGTCACACAATGTATCGCTTCAGTCGGGGGGGACCCCGCCAGCCCGCCAAGTTCTTGTTACGGGTCTGCTCAGCACAGTGCAAGGCCTCCCAACGAGCCCTACACGTTGGTGGAGCCAGGAAGCCCTGATCCTCGCTTTTCGCAAGTTGTACCCAGCTCACTTCTTCACAAATTTCCAGTTCCCGATGGTCGAGGATCTTGTCAATGCTGCCCCGTTCAATGCATTTCCTGTGTGGCTGCACAACAGGCACTACGAGACCGATGGGCCCTTGGGCCCGCACTTGGCCGACGCTCAAGTCCGCCAGACTCTCCGCACTGCCGAAGGTCAGCAAGTGGGTGCACTGAACCAGCGTGCAGCACTTCCTCCACTGCTATCCTATGACCTCAACCCTGATGAGCACTTCGCCCAAGCGTTGGCGCGAGGCCGAGATTTGCTACCTACCGAGTTACCAGCAGTGCTGGATCTGGACCTGGCCTTTGCTGCAGACTGCCACGCTTACTACCGAGGCCGTCTACGAGATCTTCGCCGCACAGCAGTGGGGGCACTGCGGGAGCTCCATCGGCGTTGGTGTGCCGTAGGACGACATCTGCGGCAATTTCAACCTATCGCCTTAACAGGCTACCACGGCCACTCGCGGCCTCGGCTTCGTTGCACTGTTGATTTTGTTGACTTCATGGCCTGATGTCACATATCCATTCGGGCTTATTGAAGGCCTCCCAGCGGTGGGCTACGCGCCGTGCTACGGAGTCTTTCCATCTCAGCCTGCTGAACGCATTACCCTCACAGGGGTACTGTCAGGATGCGAGGCGCACAATTACCAGATCTTGTCTACCCTTAAGCCGGGCAAAGATGATCAGTTCTTGCTGGAACAGTCTACTAAGGATGCAGCACGGGGATTCTGTACCCCACCGTTGACCCTGGCACAGTTGCGTCAGCAGCTGCATGGGCAGCCGTATCGTCTGATCCCACGCTGTGTGATTACCCAATCCTCGGGTAAGCAGCGTATCATCGACAATGCTGATGCTGGAGGACAAACCCTGCGGTCGTCCGATGCCAATAAACTGGTACTGTGCTCGCCCCTCAGACCGGCCCAACACATCAGCCAAGTCCTACGCCATATGAGCCCACCCGAGCTAGCCCAAGCAGCGGCTACAGACACCTGGGAGTCAGGTGGGGAAGATTGGCCGGATGCCTATCGGCACAGTCCTATGGGGGTCAACGAAACGCGGGGATGCGTGGTCACTTTCTGGCATCATGAATGGGCAGCCCCAGCCTTCCAAGTCTATGCTGGTCTGTTGTTTGGTCTTCCTCTGGCCGTGACCTCATTCAATCGATACAGTCGGCTTGTGGAAGCCCTTGGGCGGCGTTTGTGCTACGTCTTAGTCTCGCTCTACTTTGATGATGCATCCATTCAAGACTGGTCTTCGAGCCGGGGGTCGGCTCAATGGGCATTTGGCGTCTTAAACCAACTCCTGGGCACCCCCTTTGCGGAGGAGAAGCGTCAAGCCATGAACCCTAAGGGATTATTCCTAGGCCTGGACCATGATCTTTCTGCCGCTCTGTCAGGGGGCTTTGTCTCCTTTTGGACGAGGGAACGCCTGGAATCCAAGTTGAAGGCCATTATCCATGAATGCCGTGAGACACAAACTCTCAAGCCCGGCGTTGCAGCCAAGCTGTACGGCTTAGCCAACTTCTTCGAACAGGGCGTCTACGGACGGATTGGATGCGGAGGTCTCCATGCCATTAAGGAACGTCAACTTGTCCGGGGTGATCAGCTGACTCCCGCCATTGAACAATGCTTCCAAATTCTCGAAGCCGTGATCTCTATCCATCCAGAGCGGGAACTTGATGTCTGGCCACGACACCATGAGCGCTTCGTTGCAGCGTCCGATGCTGCCTTGGAGACCCCAGGTGAAGGCACGGGTGGTTTTCTCCTCGTCTTCTTCCACGAGGACGTAGAGCTTCGGCTTGGGTTTGTGTCCCACCTCCCCTTGTCCATCTATGACCTTTGGACTCCGGGGGATGCCAAGATAGCGCAGCTCGAGCTCTTGCAAGTTCTCATTGCGTTGACTACCACACCTGAGCGATTCCGCAATCGCCGCGGCACATGGTACATCGACAACACTGCTGCTTTGATGGCGCTCATCAAAGGCAGATCAGACAGTCCTGACCTCGAACATATGAGCCACATGATTCATATTCTTTTGTTTTCACTTAGATGCTGGATTTACTTTGAGTGGATCCCCTCCAAAAGTAATTGGAGTGACGCGATTTCCCGTGAGGGACATGCGGATAGATGGCACCACGACCAGGGTTTCACTAGTCGAGTGGCCACATTTTTCGAACCACTCTGGTATTTTCCCTTTTCCGTCACTCTGCGAGTCGGTCTCTTTCTTTAAAGTGCGTTGGGAGAAATGCATTGGGTAGATACATCGCTATGGATACGTCTGGGTGGACGAGTCTCCATAGATGGGTATCTAAGCTTCATCCAGGAATGGATGTGTGGCTATGAACACTGCTCACACTTTGTGAGTTTCCAACGCAACAACGTCAGGGCGACGTGCAGAGACCATAACTGCAGAGAGTGTCAGCGAAAAAGGGG